TTTTTTTTTTTTGGAGCCATCCCGCCACCTGTTGGCAGCTCACGGCTGCTCAGCTCGGGCTGACTCGAACCACTGTTGCTCAGAGCTCAAACTCTTGAGTGAGCTCTTNACGGCTGCTCAGCTCGGGCTGACTCGAACCACTGTTGCTCAGAGCTCAAACTCTTGAGTGAGCTCTTAACCAACTGAGCCACTCAGCCGGCCCTGTCCTTGACTTTTGAATTCATCTTCTCCCTGCGTCTCTTCGTGTCATCTTGCTGCTATCTGTCCCAATTTCCCCTTCTTATAAGGACACCAGTCATCCTGGATCAGGTCCCATCCTAATGACCTCATTTAAACTTGGTTACCTCTATAAACACCCCATCTCCAAATAAGATCCTGTTCTGAAATACTGGGGGTTAGGACTCTATCATAGGAATTTGAGGGGCAACACAATCCAACCCATAACACCCACCTGCCCATTTCCCCAACATTTTTTAACTTCTTGAGTGAGATAAAAGTAGGGAAGCCCAGGGACACATCATCTTCTGAAGAAATTGTATGGGGGTCTGGGAACGGGGGTGCACAAGTTAGGCACGTGAACTGGAGAAAGACACCCAAGAGTGAGAATGGAGGGTTGAACTGACAAAGAACTGAAAGTACTGCCATAGACTAGCCTAGAGGCTGTGTCTGTGCTCTGGTATCTGCTGGTCCTGAGTTCATATCCCTGGTCAGCCCCTCACGAGCAGTGGGTCCTTCCCTCACCTGTAAAAGTTGGGTAATAATAGAATCTACCTCATGGGATGGTTGTGAAGATGGAATGAGAGAATAGCGTATGTGAAGGGTTTAGTGCTGTGCCAGACACATGGTAACTCAGTGTGCAGAAGGTGTGCTGTCACTATTTTGATTATAAGTGGAGGTCGAGACCAAGGAAAATGATAATTCAGGGAGAAGGTGATGACAAAGAAGAGGCAAGTTGCCTTTGAGCCAGGTCACGTGACTCTGTGCTCTCATTCAAAGTAATGAAGACAAGGGAAGCAGAGCAACAGTCAGACCTGGGCATCAACAATGGTGGCCTGTGGACCAAAGGCCTCAGAACACCTGGGCCCCACCCAGGAAAGGCAGAGCCCTGGGCCCCTCAGGAGTGCAGCTAAAGCAGGGATTCTGTGGGTAGGACCCAGAAATCTGTTTCTTTGTTTTTTTTAAACAAGCTCCCCTGTGATTCTTATGCACATTAAAGTTTGAACCCCCCCCGGACCAGACCACGGGTCCTGGAGTGGCGGAGATGATGTCCATTCATACCCCCTGCATCTACACAGCCCTGGTGCAAGGTGGGCACTCCCATCACTCCTGTTCCCATGGCCAGTCTTCCTTGGATGAGGTCAGAGTGGTGGCCTTGAGCCATTAAGCATAAAACAAAACTCTGTAAGTCACATTTTAAATATTCTATTTAGAGGGATCACATTGGCAAATCAAGTCTTCTATATCATGGTAAACGTCACTGCACCCAGAAACTAAGTTACATTCTGCATTGTCCATTCCTCCTCTCTCCACAACTGGTCATCCAGTCTTGACCTTGGGTTTAGCCCAAAAGGACCTCCGACCTTAGGCCTGAGGGATGTAAGGAGCCGTGAGTGGCCCAGCACCCTTGCTGTGCCTCTGTCTCTGTTGTTGGGCACTGTTTCCTCCCTTCTTGGGCACCATCCACTAAACCTGAGGCCCACCATGTCCCCCATGCCTGCATTCCTGTCGTGTTCCTGAAGACACCAGTCCCAAAAGCTACTGGTTCTCATAGTAGAGATTCTGCCTGTGAGCCAAGCTGGGGTCCTACATCTCTTGGCAGAGCTTCTAAATCCTGGCCTGCTTTCTAGATCTTCAGATATCACCTGTTGTTGAATTCCTGTCACCAGACTCCACCTGCCTCGCAGGACACCTCCAGTGATCCCCCAAAACGTAGACAGCATACCGGTTGGGAGCGCAGCCCGGTGTGACATTTGGCTCTGCCCCTTGGGAACTGTGTGACCTTAGGCAAGTGGTCCAGCCCAGCAAACCTCAATTCCTGCCGCTGTCACACCCCCTCCTTCCCAGGCTTGTTACGAGAATTCAGCCAGATAGCACACATAAAGCCAGGCACAGTGCCTGGCACGGGGAATGCACAAGACAAGCTCAGCAAACCCTGGCAGCCGGCACAGAAGTGCTTCTGTTTCTGAATGCTCAGAGGCACAAGCGAAGCTCCACGCAGAGCAGGAGCGTTGCTCACTTGATCCTTTCAACAACAAGACGTACTTTATTACCCCATTTTACAGATGAGGAAACCGGGGCACAAGGTCATAGGACTAAGTGGCAGAGGCTGCACTTGAACCCCAAGGAGTCTGGCTGCAGAATCTATGCACTTAGCCACTGTGTTATGCTGTCCCTTCTTAAGTAGTGATATTTAGAAATCAAAATAATTACTCTTCTGTCCCTCCCTCTTCTCTCCCTGTGGGCCACTAGTCCGGGTACTTGTCCTGTCCTATACCTTGGACGCCTTTACGTCCCAGTTGAGTGGGACATCCTGCCAGCCCAGGCTCCTTCTGTCACGTACCCTCCCAGGTAGGTCCCCTTCGTTCTCTAGGGTTGAGTGGGCTGGATCCAGTCACATCTTGAGAAGGGGACACCTTGTCAGTATTGGATGAACATTTGTTGATTAGCAAATCCTTTCTTAAGGAAGGATACTCATTGAGGTACAATCTCTGCGTCATATAGAACGTATTTCCCCATGTATAAGACGCACCCTTTTTCGAAAAATTTGGGGTCTAAAAACTGGGTGCGACTTATACAGTGGTTGTAAATTTCTTGACAGCGATGAGGAGTTGTATGAATTTTATGATGAATAAAACTTGAGTCCAGTAACTTTATGTAATACATTTTTTTTTCAAATTTCGGGCCCCAAGTTAAGGTGTGTCTTATACATGGGGAAATACGGTAGGCGTTAGAGTGACCTAAAACAGGGCATGCCTGTGGCACAAATGACTACAGGTTGTTTTTCCAGCATCTTAAATCAAGGAGCATTGCATTAGCTAAGCATCGCCTGTTAGATGAGGCAGAATGGGCGTGCCTTCCACTCTGCAGGACCCCTCGCCCCTGGAAGCGAGCACAGCAGGGCTGGCAGCTCCATGATGCTGAGAGGTGTATTCCGGGTCCACAGAATGTCTGTCAGCAGCGTGTGCGAGCACACCCTCTGACCTGGGATAAGATGTGCCTTCACTAGGTGTAGATGGAGCTTTCGGATGTCCGTCCATCATCACCACTGAACATATGATCATCACGGTTGGTGCTACTGTAAACTCAAACCATATAACCAACTGAATGCTGCTTCCTTAAGTCCTCTGTGGAACCAGGCAAGCCACCTATGTGTCTGTGCACACCAGAGTTGAGAGGGCGGTTTACAAGAAACGCAGTGTTTTCTCCCTTAAGTTTTTATGTATTATCTTCACCTTTGATTAAGTACTTCATTCACAAGTCTATTGACTCCTACTAAAAAAGGCAGGGTCAAGAGGAGAAAGTCTCCCTGCCGTCTGCCAGCTGCCCATAGCAACCGATCTGGTATGTTGCCTTCACATATGCAATCTCTACAGGGGACTTTCCTCGGAAGTCATCAATGACCCACCCCATACAAAGAAAACAAAGGAAAAGGGAATTTGTGACTGTGAATCACAGTCTCCACCAAAATCCACACTCATTCACACAAATGGCCCCAGTTAACAGCTAGCCAGCCCTTTGCTGGACACCTCTCTGCAAAGGCAGGCCCATTGCTTTCCAACGCTTTGCCACCCTTGGGCGGGCTCATCCTCACACAGAGCCTCCCTCCCTCTGCCAGGTTGCTCGCATCCTCCCATCCTCCCACTGGTGTTTGCGGAGCGAAATCATAACCAGTCGAGTCCCTGTAGCAAATGAAAGGGAAAGTGCCGGTCACTGAAGCAGAAAGGGAGGCAGGGAGAGGGGGGTGGGTTTAAACAGCTAGAGAAAGCAGTGTTTGCATTCTGCCGAGGTGCCGAGGTGCCGAGGGAGCTCTTGGGCCTGAGAGGCGAGATAAGGTGGGTGCCTGCCCTCTTGGCTCTCTGAAAAATGGGTACTTGATTAAATGTCCGAAATTTTCACCCCAGTACCCGGAGGTCTGAAGTTTTCAAATGCCCTTGTCTGGAAGCCTTGCATACTTTTGCCATGTAGTATTGACGTGGGAGTGGCTTGGCATAAGTGCCCAAGAATGTGCCCAGTGGCTAGCCATCCCTGCTGTTTCTCTACTGGTGCCTATCTGGAGGGGCACTGACATGAGGATGTGATTTTCAAAGATCAGAAGGTCAGGGAGGAAGTAATCCAGGTGACCAGGGGGGGCCATCAGAATACCACCCTATCAAAACACACGCAGATAATTCTATGTTTCAGCCCAGCTTTTATATCAAAAGGTTGATAAAAATCTAAGGTACCCCCGCCCATGGATAGGCTTTGCGAGGCAGTTGAATTTCCAGGCTCCCCAAAAGGGTGAGTGTGACACAGCAGGATAATGCCAGCCAGACTCACTAAGACCACAGCTTTCCGCTTCTGCCAACAGCAAGGGCTGCATCCAGCACTTTAAGTAAATGAGAACATCCCGCCCCCTCCAGTCCTCACCGGCCTGGCAGCGGAGGAGGGGGGCGGATAATGATTATGGGGCCGCAGGCTGCAGGGTCTCTAACCTCCAGATGCTAGTTTTCCGTGCCTGTGCCATCAGCGGGCCCTTCCCCCAGAGCAGGCTGCACCACGGTTTCAACACAGCCAGAGAGGAGCTTCGGGGTGTTCACTTGCAGGCATGCTCATTCCAGTGGTATTTGCTTAAAACACCTTACTGCCTTAACCTCTCTCTTCCTCCTTTCTTTTCCATGTAGCCTGACACTTGCACGCGAGGACACACACACACACACACACACACACACACACACACACACACTCCCTCAGGTCTGGATAGAACCTGCTCTTATTCCTTAGAACAGAAACCCAATTCTTACCTGAAGAGCTTGCAGGCTGAGGACTGTGCCTCTCTCCCTCCGAGAGGAAAGGAAGTCCACTTGCTGTCCCCTGCTCTGTGTCTGACACTGTCACCGCGCTGCAGCTGCCTCCCTGGCAGCCTCAAGCTGGCTCTCTCTCCGTGACTGCGGCTCTGTGTGGGGAGAGGGGACGGGCTGTGGCATGCACATCAGGTTGCTGGTCCGCCTCCAGCCACCATGCCACAGAGCCGGCTACCGGTCCCGCAGGGCTATGTGAAAGGCAGGGAGGCAGGCTGGGGGCTGAACTGTCAGTCTCTAGGTCTCTCTCAGGCCTTGTTTATGAGCAGAGGGGACCTGCCTTTAAACAACCACCCACAGAGACGTACAGAGCGCTAAGTGCCCCCCACTCTGGACAGCTAGCAGCAGGCCCAGGAACACGGAGCTATTGGCCAGCGGCGAAGGGAAGCAGACACAGCAGACAGTGGCAGCAGCTCTCCTGGCTGTTATTTTAGCGTGGTTTGTCTTGGGGCAAATGGCTGAACCGAGTGGACTACTGGCCCGTCTGAGCAGAATCCTGTTTATTTTGAGGCCTTGGTCACCAGGGAAACAGCAGGTCGTGGCTCAGAGACACTTCTCTGGAATCAGAAGGCTGCTGGGTGAAAGGGAGTCCTTTTCTGTTCTGTCACCTGGCATCGCTGTACAGTGTGTAGGTGTGCGTATGCGTGTGTGTGTGTGTGTGTGTGTGTGTGTGTGTCTGTGTTTCTGTGTGTGTGTGTGTGTGTGTGTGTGTTTCTCTGACTGTATGTGTGTCTGTGTGTGTGTGTTTCTGTGTATCTGTGTGTGGTGCATGTGTGTGTCTATGTGTATGTGTGTGCATGTGTGTGTCTGTGTCTCTGTGTGTGTATGTCTGTGTGTGTCTGTGTCTGTGTATCTGTGTGTGTGTCTGTGCCATTCCCAGAGCCAAGTCTTGCAGAGGGCATTCTGCAAAGCCTCTCAAGGCCATGGCCGCCCAGGTTAGGGCTGGGGAGGGGCTGCATCCTCATCAGAGGTCAAGCCTGTCGCTGCTGCACTAGGTGCGTCCTCAGGTGAGCCCAGCTTCACATGTGGGGATTTCTTCAGAGGACAGCATCTTGATGCCACTGGCCAGGACAGGGAAGGAAGGAAGGAAGGAAGGAAGGGAGGGAAGAAGGGAGGGAGGGAGGAAAGAAGGAAGGAAGGAAGGAAGGAAGGAAGGAAGGAAGGAAGGAAGGAAGGAAGGAAAGAAGGAAGGAAGGAAGGAAGGTAGGTGCCTGTGCAAATAACTCTGGCTAGAAGGTGGGGACTGAAGCAGGACTGAAAGGATATGGACCAAATAGAAACATGATTAATAGTTTTGATGCAGAGTCCCCTCCTCGTTCCCTATGCAGGCATTTGAGCCTGGGAGAGATGTGAAAGTGTGTGTGTGTGTGTGTGTGTGTGTGTGTGTGTGTCTGTGTGTGTGTGTACGCGCGCACGCGCACGTGCATGCACATGAAAGCCTGCCCACCTGCTGATTCAGATAGAGAGGTACAGATTGACCTGTCGGAACTATTGGGTTGTCGGAAAAGTCATGAAGCATTTCTTCAATCAAAAATGTAGAAAAAATACATCATGACTTGTCTGACAACACAATAGAAATATGCTCTCTGGTTTCTCCTTGCTCCGGGAAGCTGGAGGTAGAAGCCTGTTCTCCACACTCACCATGGAGCACCCAGGGAGCCTTTTGTGAACCTTCTGCAGGGATGAGCCTGGGAGACGCTTGTCTCCTGTAACAGAGAACTAGAGGCAAACCATCACATAACTCTGACAATGGATGAGCAGCAGCTCTCCTCAAAGGGACCGGAAGGTACAGAAAAAGCTCGTTTCTCTAAACTTTATTAACTGGAACCTCCATGAACTGCCACTTCCACATAGTCAGGTACTGATAATTGGCTTTTAAAAACATAAGAATCTTCCTGAGCATCTGCACGATTCCAAAGGGCCTTCTGAATCATATTTAGGTAAAAAATATTTTGGACAATATGCTTCTCGATATTGGAGAATTATTATGCTGTAATCCAGTGTGCACGTGAACTCTTTTTAATTGCACAGAATGATAGATTTTAATGTTAGGAAACACCCTCGAGATCTGAGGACAGAGGCAGCTCAGAGCCTCATCCAGGTGCACCTCTAACACCCTGGAACCTGCCCACGCTGCGATGTTGACCATTCCTGGGCAACTCAGGTCCTCGGGGCTCCGGATTTCCTCCCTCCTCACGGAGATTAATGGGACGCTCCTAACCACATCTTCCCTGCAAGCTGACAGGATTATTGTGATGATGAAATAGTGCTAAAGTGTGTGGAAGCACCTTGAAAACGGGTAATATAAGTGTAGGTCATTATTTTAGTTTTATTTTCCCCTTACATCCAGTTGTGAAATGCCATGAAAAAAGACAAACAAACTACGCAGGTTTTAGGCAAATTGTAACCCCTACCTACTGATATAAACGTATTTCTTTACTACACATTGGCTGTTTGGAAATGTTGCTGTCCAAATACTGAGACATAATGACTGGTCAGTTCCTTATTTACTGTAATATAATTTGAATGAGGGTTCCACCTCAATGATGAAAGTCTTAAAAATTTCACTTGAACACCCCTCAGATTCCCTATTTATTTCACCCCCCATGTCAAGTATCTCGATGTATCTTTTTAAATGATACATGTTCAGATGTTTTGAGTCATGAAATAGGAAATGGTAATGCTTTTAGGCCTCACTATTATTTAGTGGGGGAAGGACTTGGAGGTTACCTAGTCGAAGTCCGGCCTCAGAATAATAGCTCCCGCTCTGGGCCAGGAAATAGTCTGTGGAAATAATAGCTCTCGAAGCCACGTAGTAAGCATCCACAGTATGTTAGATCCTATGCAGAGTTTGTAATAGAAACCACATCTTCCCTCAAAGTTCTTAGACCATTTTTAATGCTGTTTCTGCAGTGATTAAAACACAGGCGAGCCTACTAGCACTGCAGAGCGTGGGTCTGGGAAAGGAAGAAAATGACAGATTTGGAGGACCCACAGAAACCCGAGCAGAAGCCCGGTAGGTTTATCCACAGAGATGGGGCCTTGGCCGGAGTCATCCACGTATCAAGGTGGTGGTTGGTGCCGGAGGTGAGGCATTTCCTTCCACGTATAGGAGACTGACTCTCTCCTGAGCACTTCGGTGGTGGCTATTCTAGAAAGTGGCTCTCAACCTCCTTTATAAGAGCTTTATTTAGAAGGGCAATAAGAGTAGAACGTGGCGTTGCCATGGTTTTACTCATTCTGTGCTCAGTGCCTCTGAAAATCAGGACATAAAACTATCCCTTTTAAACTGCATCAATGTAAAAAAGGAATCAGAGCGTGACAGAATCAGCAGGGTTCAAAATGCTCCCCCCCAAAAAATACATTTTCTTTCTCTCCAGATATAGCTTGTATGTTATATCGAATCTTAAGACTGCCATTCAATATTTGCTTTAAAATCTCCCCTTCATTCATCCAGTTTTCATAAATGAGACAGTTATGGGAAATGCACACCAAACACACTGCATTTTCTTTCTTTCTAATCTCATTTGACCTTGAGGGGAAACAACAAATCCTAATCAGCTGACAGGAGAAATCAGATGCTGCGTGCCACTCTCTCCCTCCAGCAAAGGATTTCCTTCTGTTTATGCCCAATCATGCAATTAGAAGGAGGGCATGCTGGCCTCATGGTGAACCAGCTGCTAAGAGGACGGAGGGGAGCGATTGGACAAACAGGGCAAAGGGAAATGAAACAGACGTTCACAGAAAATTGTATTAGTTGCCCAAGGAGACCTCATAGCCCACAAATGTCACCAGAGCTGCAGGACAGAAATGGGGTCCAGTGGTTCTCAAGTGGGAAGGGGCTTTGCTCTGAGCCTGCTGTAACCCAAGAACGGGAGCTGGCCCCCCTTTGTCAGCCTGGATCTCCAGCAGGATACTGGAGGTCAGGGCAGATGCTTGGAAAGGGCCATTCCACGAGAGGTGGGCTTCCTCTCTGATATTGATCACCCATCACCTATTCTAGTCTATGTTTCCCTTGATCTCAAGGTTCCCATTTTTATTTAAAAATATTTCATCTTTAAAGCAAAGTAATGCTTTGTGCACATGATAAAAATGTAGACTGGGGCTGGCCGAGTAGCACATTGGTTAAGAGCTGGCTTGGGACGCCAGAGGGCCCCGGTTCGGATCCCACATATGAGGGCCAGTGACACTGCCCTCCACAGCTAAGATGCTGAACAACAGCTCAACCTGGAGCTGGGCTGCCGTGAGTCGCCGGCGACGGCGTGGGCTGCAGCCCCTGCTGCAGTGGGTTGCCAAAGGCTACCGTGTGTAGCCAACAGACAGCGTGAGCAGCCAGCAGCCGCTGTGAGCGACCGTCCAAAAGCTGGCAACTGATCTGCCTCGCCCGGGAAGAGCGCAATGATGGTGCCAACTTGGGCCAGTGAAGCAACGTCCTCCACAACTAGACTGAAGAACAAAAAGGACAGCAACTTTCCATTCCCCTTCCCCCAATTCCCCAGCGCTGTTCCCATCCCCCAATTCCCCAATAAAAATCTCTAAAAAAAAATGTACACTGTACAGAAAGGCATAAAATGACCCTCACTAACCCCCTCTCTTTAAAGATAACCACTATTAACTTTTATTCTGGGTCCTTTCAGGGGGAAAAAAATGTCTTTATATGCCTGAATGTGCATATGTTTAAAAACAATTTAGCTTGCGCAGTGTCCTGCATTATTGTTTGTTTGTTTTTCACTTAATAATAATTCTTTACACAATTGGTCTAGTCCAGGTGCCGGCAAACTTTTGAGATGGAAGAGCTAATCCTGTCCCTCACAACAATTGAAAAATTATTCGAGTGCCAGAAAATAAATGAAATCACCATTATGTGAATAATATCCTTTTAAAATTTTATAAATGAAACTGTGATAGTTTTATTTTCATTTTCAGTTTTATTTCAGAGCCACATGTATGTACCCAAAGAGCCACATGTGGCTTGCAGCGAGCTGCGGTTTGCTGACCCCCGATCTAGTCCATCCAAGCACCAATATTTTTTGCCTGGATTATCGTAATATCCTCTTAGCGGACTTCCCTGCTTCTACCCTTACTCCCTACGGTT